ATCCTTGCATTATAATTATAGCACTAATTCCTACCTTCTGGTGTCCAAATTCATTCAAGATGGTGCCAAGCTTTTTTGTACGGCTACGTAGTTTATGAGCAGCAATTGCTGGATTGGGATCTCTCCAGTCAATGGACAGACGATGGTACCAGAGATGTTGTCCCTCCTGAATATGAGCTGATTTGATACTAGGATCAAATCGATGCACCTCACATCCACTGTTGGCCATGCTCATCTCAAACTGGTTATCATCACTGCCCAGTCTACAAAAACAAGCAAGATATTGTTATTATTATTATTATTATTATTATTATTATTGCAAAGAAAAACGTAATCAACTGGAGAATGATCCCAGACTTTTATGGATACTCAAGGAGAGAAAATACTCCTACACATTGATTTTTGAAGCAAAACAAAGGAACTACTTTTTAAAATTGTAAACTTGTTATATGAATGTACAGCACCCTGGGGTCCTGATTCTGACTAGATCACCACAAATAAAAATTAAACAAATTGAAAACTCTCTCTCCAATTAAAATTAGGAATCAACACCAATAATCTAACTGCAAAAGGAAAATTAAAGAAATATTTACCTTCCTCAGTACAATATGCTAAGTGATCTTTAGAGATTTTTTGTTTAAATTGCTATAACCTTATTTGTTTACATATCAAAAATATTTATAACTGAGTATAGATCAACATGTTGCACACAATTAGTGAAAAAAGCTTCTTCAGAGTCAAGAAGCAAATGATATTTTAAGTATTAAGCCATCAGTTGTATGATCAATGAAAATGTTTGAGCATATACATATATTCTTCCATGTTTGATCTGCCTTCTCCTGACAAGATCACAATACGTCCATTTAGCCTCCAGTGCACATGCTCTTATAGTCCTCTCTAGTAACTAAGGTGTTAATATAATGAGAAATAAGTTTTTAAATGTGTGTAAAATTACTTTCCCATTGTTTCTAGAGTCTGCTGTTAGTTTCATAGTTCCTTAATGATGTTAGCTTAAATAATCCTTAAAAGGGCTGCAAACTCCATCAGGAGGGATAGGACTCAAGGACCTTCAACTGCAAAATAAGCAAACAAAACAAAACATAATTCCATTACACTGGTGCTATTTTCTCTGGTGAGCTAAACTCTAGAGCAGGGCTACTCAACACGCGGCCCACAGGCCACATGTGGCCCACAGCCCGTTTGTTTGCAGCCCGCAGTACAGTTTGGGTTTACATGGGGTGGGATCCTTTGAACATGGCCTCCATTAGGAATGTGCTCCACAATGGCGAGTCAACAGAACGGTCTTCTGTTGATATGCACTTTAGTAGTTAAATTCCTGGACTACTATTTCTCATTAAAAGTGCTGTCATATGGGTAGAAATCGGCTAAATATTGCTTTTTATTAATATACGCAGAACTGACTTAAATGGGGCCTGCGTGTTGTAGTCTTGCCTCAATCTTTGTATTCATGCCCGTCAGTGTGAAATAAGCTATTTGCATATATTTGCATATATATGCAACCACACTTAAGTTGTGGCCCTCGGCATGTGCTGTGAGTATTACTGTGGCCCCCGGGGCTTCCAAAGTTGAGTAGCCCTGCTTTAGAGGGTGCCAGTCACACACACTTAGACACTGACTGTTGCTAGCACTAAAAGACGCAGAAGAAAGAGAAGGAGGTGAACCCACCAGTCCTTCTATTACACAGAGCGCAGTCCCAGTCTCAGTTCCTGCCCGTGAGGAGTGAGGTTTTGAAGGGGTGGATGGGAAGTCACAGTGCTGCCTGGCCAGTAGAGGAGCCTGATCCATACTCCAACCCCATTGCACATCCAGTCACCCTAGGCCCAGTACTGGTTATATCTCAGTCAAAATTATACATGAAAGTGAAAAGCACTTCCGTACTCTGACAGGCTGATGCAGAAGTCACATTAGGCACCTTAACAGTATTTTTCATACTTCTTACACCCTCTTCTGCAGGTTAGACAAAGCTTGGCCCAGAATTTACAGTGGTTCATATCTGGCAGAGCACAGTCAGACACCAATTTATAACGAAGCTATAAGGTGCAAGTAGAAAACCCATAGCTGAAAATAGAATCTGGGAGCTTTCCTTTCAAAAACTAGAGATTCTAACTTCTGAACAAACATCAAACTTCCATTAGCTTTTAGTAGTAGTAGGGCTTTTATCGTTTGTGGACCAACCACTATAGGGCAATATATTCACTAAGACACATGCTCATTTATATTATGTAAATCACTCCCTTAACCTCAGTGGCCATCCAACTGTAAAATGTTGGCTGTTGTCCAGTATATTAATAATAATACAACACTAAATCAAAACTACAGCAAAGAAACTACTATAATTGATTGTGTGAAATGTGACCGTCTTCTGTCAAAAGTTTTGGAAGAAAGCCCACCTGTTATAATGGAATTCCTATAAAGCACTCTTTCGCTTTCAGAAAATGGAGTGAAACACCACTTAAAAAATTACTTCTGCTTATTTGTATGGAGGATTCAGTTCTATAGGATTCCACTTCTTCATAATTGTGTAGGAAGAGAAAACAGAGGATTCCTTTCCAGCAATTTACATATGTTGGATTATGGAAGAAAAAAAAGCCAAAGCAGTTGCTTAGGAATAAGAAGTTAGATAAGAGATGTGAAGATGACAACTGACAAAATTTAAATTATTCATAATTAGGGACTAATACTAGAACTGATGAGCGTGTAAAAGGCTCTGATTGAGGAAGACATTTCCCTGCGACAGTCTTTTTCAGTACTTTGAAATGATACTTTTCAGAGAGCCAGATGCTCTAACATCAGATGCCAGCAATACTTGCCCTGCTTTCAAAAGGATTTTTGCCTGTTTAAGGACTGCAGGATGAGGCCAAGAGAGTGGAAAACAGAAAAAAGTATTCGTGGAAAACAGGAAGTTGAAATGTCTTAGGTCATGCAGAACATCAACAACAAAAACCAACACAAAAAATTAGGTGACATTCAAATCTTTCATAACATTCAAATATGGCTGTGGTGTGGGTGAGGGTAAGTAATAATGCAGAACAGGGAACAAAGTAAACAAAAGATACTGCAGAAGACCAATCTTCTGCAGACCCTTTCATCTAACCATGTCTAAAAGAAAGTTTCTATCTCTATCACCAATGACTGTAAAGTGAAACATGCTATTCTCATTGGGCTTTTATTTTATACTAAGTAAAGATTATGATACAAAACTGCTGTAATCAAAAGCTATTCTGAAACTTCATGTTCAGTGCACTGGCAGTGGAAGAGATAGGGTTGCCAGATGGTTTAACCAAAAATATTGAACACCTCCCCCCTCCACCCCAAAAAGAACACTGGGGAAAACATTCTGTTGAGGAAAAAAAGAGGAAGACCAAAGCTGTTGAGCCAAAAAAGGGGGGACCCTAACAGCAGTTAAGAAAAAAAAAGAAATAAAAAAAATAAAAAATCAGCATGGCTCCTTTAAGAAGAGGTTTTTTTTTTGCCAGCAGCCATTTTGTTTTTGTTCCAACCACAAGACATGCCCTTGTGGAACCAGGTAAGCAGGGGGGTGGGGGAGGAACGTATTATATTACCCCCATTATAAAAATTATATCACCCCCATTATAAAAATTGTTCCAGCACCCCACCCTACTTCCAACCTTCTCTGGAGGAATAGGGGGGGGGAGGGTAAAACCAGAGAGATCCTAGATTAGACTATACAATTGGCAAAGCAAGAGTGCAGAGCATTAGTTATTCTCTACTTCTTGGAGTCCATACAGGGCCATGGGAAACAGAACAGAAATTAGAGTTGATGGGTTGTTTTCTGACTTACATGGGGCACCATGCAGGCCCCTGCACAGCCTTAGAATACAGAGAACACACATGGGGCATAAAAGCCCTTTGTCACATACTCCATTTCTAAGTGCACATTCCTGACCACTCGTGTATTACAGGTCTCAAGGGGACACGGACAGAAAGAAGTTGTGAAAAACACTCAATTTAAAGGTCCTATCTTCCCCTTCCATGGGGTTTTCCACATGGGAGAACATGGGGTGAGACAATTTCAGACATTCCTTGTGTCTGAGACACATCTTGAAGTGATTTTAAGGTAGCTTTCACATTATCTAACTCTTATACTGTAAGATTTTAGATGGTGTTTCAATAGATACTTAAAACCTAACCTCATAACTTTTTGAAATCCCTTATTATCTCAGTTTGAATGCCTGTATATTGTGTTTGTAACAGAGTTAAATAGAAGCAGATTTTAGCACTGATAATGCTACAGCTCGCTAATACATATTACAATTCCATATCATTCTGAGAAGTCCTGTCCCAAAGCAAAAAAGGCAGTGTAACCCATGCACTTAATAGGGAGCTATCTCTTTAAGAGACCCTTGTGGGAAGAGGTAGGAGTGAGTTGAGTGTTACTGTTGCTGGTTCAGCACTCCACCCAGAAGCTTCTGAAGTTGGGTCCAGTAGTTTGGGGTCAGACTTCATGAGCAAGCAGGCAGGGCAGATGCTTTTCTAAGGCCTGTGTGAGTTGGAAGAAGCTAAGCCAGGAGCAGAGAACTGGCTGCTGTTTCTCACTTTGCAGCAGGGTTTCTTTAAGTCTGTTCACTTGTGAGCTAACTGACTAGTTCAGGGGTCTCCAAACTTTTCAGCCCGAGGGCCGCATTAACTATCAAACAGCAGTTCGGGGGCCGACTACACACTTGAGGTCCAAATAAAAAACAATCAAAACATGGATGTTGTTTTTAATTATTTATTTAATATTATTTTATTCAGTTATTATTTAATAACACATTGATACACTACACATGAACACCTGTATTAGTGTGAATGGTGAAATTGTTTCCTGGATGCCAAAATAGCAGACATTTCTGGCTTTAGAAATCACTGTTTGAAATTGGGGGTGGTGCTTGTCCTAGTCCTGCAGGAGGGGCTCCAGAACGGGGAAACTGCTGAGAACTCATTTCCACCTGCGCAATGTGATGAAAATTGTAAGCAACATAATCCTGGCAATATGTTCAGCCTAAGACACTCACACTTGAAGAGATGTGATCGCTCTCCTATCATGCAGGGAATGAGGTGACAATTTGTAACATAGCCCCATGGAACAAGGGGCATGCATTTTAATGGGAAAAGCTGGTTTGAAAGCAGACACGTTATCACTTGGTAAAGGAAGTTGGAAAGCAGTGCCCAACGCTCCCACAGACTGATACCCGGCAGGGCGGTGCTGCTCTGGGTTGTGGATGAGAGAGACCAGACGTGG